TAATAACACAGGCAGCTGTAAGAGGTAAAAGGAAGCGTGAGTATATAAATAGTTTTATGCTGGGGAGGCAAATATTCAAGGTAGGAGTTTAAGTACAATCTTTAGCGATGAAGAACACTACGGAGCAAAGACAAAAAACTGTTGTGTCCAAATGCCACTGGTTTTTTTTGATAGTTCGAGCATTCCATGGAAATGGTATATTTTGTCCCATACAAACAGATAATTAATTTTATAGTTGGATATTTTTTCTTAGTTGTTTATCACACAAATATATAGTAGAACTAGTTACTTCATTTGACAAAATTTCGGTTTGACTTTCATTATTGCCGCAAACTGAAAAACCTCGTACCACTGAAAAAAGATACTGGTATAAATTTGGGTTGCTCCATAAAATAAGAATACTAGTTCTCCCTAAACTAAAAAAACTGAAATAAATTGAAGAGACAAACCGCAAGGTAAAAAGTACATGGCCTTTAGAAATCCGAAAAGAGGAAAACTGTTTCGAATATCAAAATTAAGCTCTTATAGAAACTTCTGAAGTGATATTGCCAACATGACAGATTGGCTTGGTTCTCTTAGAAAATCTGATGGACATTACTAATTAATGACAAAACTTAATTACTGACAAAAGTAGAGATATAGAAGTGGATAGCCAGATGGGAAGAGCCACCAGACTAAACTGATAGACAGCATTACTGATGTCGACTGAGGAATCGGTGAGGTGAGGAGATGGTGTTAATGAGGTGATGGTAAAGAATGGGAAAGGCGAGCATATAGAGAGAGTGGGAAAGACAAGCAGCATAGTAAAAGTTTTGAGTGCTTTTGAGCATTGCCGCACTCCTTGTAGGAGTCTTTTTTTTTCGAAACAGAGGAACAGTGACAATACGCTAGCAAAAAGCTTCAGGCCAGTCAGTTCGACATCCGTTATGCTGAAAAGCCTACAAAGGGGCGGTCGAAAAGTACATTAGATAAAAGGTTTTGATTGACAGCTGCCCAACTGTTCACCAACATTGCATACCAAAGTGAGAACGTGATGGAACTGATAAAAGCTGGCTTGAAGGAGTCTGAGTATCGATTAATGCTGAGGTTAAGCGATGTAGCTGTTGATTGATGTAGGTTGGTTTGGTTGGTTTAAGCGGATTGTCACTCTTGTGAAAAGCAATTAGCAAGTTTGCCATTTTGATTCCACAAGTTGTGCAACCTACAGCCGTTTGGCGGTTCTGATGCATTTCAGTACGTCACACACAGAGAGAGGCAGCTGTACTACTCTGAAATATTCTGCAGAATGGTTTGCCGATTGTCTTCGGCCTCATCCTTGTGAGGGCTGGACAATCGCACAGGAAGTGTTCGACTATCGCTTTCCAGGTCGGGTCAATGTTATAGCGACAGAACCAATTGCAGGGCAGTCTTATCCTTTCGGCATGCATCCAAATGGGCCAGCGTCCTGTGCACGATGCTATAAATTTGTAGGCATCTTCTTTGCTCATTTCCAAGAGAGCTTTGGTTTTAAGGGGGTCGTAGGATACCCAGAGCTGCTGGGTAATCCTGTAAGAACCTGTGCAATTCCACCTCTGCTTGGCCTTCGAGTGATAAATTTCGGTAATTTTTTACTTAATCGCCCTGAGCCAAGTACCCGTGTCCAATGCGTAGGACATATTCAGTACGGAACCGCTCCTTGCTAGTTCGTTCGCTGCACCGTTTCCGGAAATGTACCTATGGACGAATTTGAGGTCTGACTGTAGAATGTTGAGCGCGAACGTGCTCAATTTCAACTGCTATGCCCCAACGTAGACTGGCTCAGGTGGAACTTAAAAAGCACGAGAAATACAGTGTTGCCGCCGATGTTATAGTGCGTGGTATACCTCATTCTATAGGTGAGGTTGCTGGTGGTATTTTTAACCACAAACACAACACAAAACCAGAGGAGGAACTGAATTATGATTAATCGGATATGAGGCAGAGGAGAGAATCCTCTTAAGCGAGTGTCTCACTAAATGTAACCAGGAAATTATGCAGTTTGCTACCCAGATTAATTGGCAAAAACGAATAACATTTGCTTTTTCTTTGAGAATTGAGGTATTTGTTCGAATCATAACTGGAGGTGCTACCGTCAAGAGCCTTAATAAAGCGGACTTAAAGAAATTACTGGAAAATAGCACATGACTAAGTGGGCTTTTGATAAGTATATTTCTTCAGAAATTTTGTTGCTATCACCGCTCATCTTATTTTTACTTTTTAATACTAAACACACACTCTCTTTCCAGCCAAAAATGATGAGTTTACATATATATTTGAATCTTATGATGTAGATGTTGTGTGTGTCTGAAATTTAGTTATCCTCGTGGCAAAACAATGAGTATAAACTCGTTCGTCAAGTGTACATCGGGAAATTTCAGTTATATTGAATATATTTTCGACAAAATAATGCAACCAAATTCCCATAGGCGGTGTTTACAGAAGAAACAAATTTGTTTCTTATGAACACTTTATAGATTTCATCGAAAACCCTGATCTTAACATCAAAAACATAGTCATAGCTGGTGATTATAACAGCGACCTGCTTCGAGAAAGTAAATTTTCAACAGCAATGTCAAATTTAGATCTGTATTCTACGAACATTGGGACTCGTACTCATTTTACTCAAACCAGCTGCACCCTTTACTTTTAATGAACTTTTTTATGAAGTGGACGAAACAATCATAGGGTGGGCACACTCCATTTTATCTCGAAAATTGCTGATTATGGGGGATGATGTTTGCCTTTGTAACATGTCAGACATTGGGAGACGATGCAGTCACAGTATCCACGGTAACAGAAATGCACACCCGAACCTATGCGGTAGACGTTTGTGCAATGGGATCAGGAAAATCTCCAATGGAGGTCTGGGTAAATAAACAAAAGATCCTAAATAAGCTTGATGAATGATACACTTTGCACTGTCTTGCTGTCAACTCCAGCAGGGAACCATCCGGCGAGCGCAGAAAATTTTCAGACAGTATTGGAGAGTTTTTAGAAAGACCTGGGGTCTGTGTAGTGGTGTAGAAGCATGTCTCTATGTGCACAACGTTGGGAGCAGCTAATAATCCTTTGTTAGATTTGCTACCAGCTGTATATACCGTTACATGAGGAGGAAATGAGCATAATGTGTCGACTGTATTCTTTTGGATTGTGGTGCGCGATTGGAGTTCCACAAAAAAGTGTTTATTATGGTGTCCGAGTAATACGCTTTGTTTTTTGGACCCTGCTGATAATTGGATACCTGTGGTCTCTTCTGAAAGAAAGTACACCGTTAGCTTTTCTAAAAGGGAGAGCAATAGAGGGATCCATGCGCTCCCTCTGAGAGCTCTTTAAAATTGTCTACATCGTTGGCATCTGCATGATAATTTCAGTTGCCTTACTGCTTTAGGTATAAGACATCGGTATTTCAATAGAAAGTCTTTGCAATGAGACAACGAGAACCCACGTGTGCGTGTTGTTGGAAGTTGAGGATGGATCCACGTTTCATTAACTTTTACGAAACGATGCAAAAACTCGTCTGAATTGTGGTTGAATATCGCTAAAGACTCGTTTGAAGGGATAGCTTTTTAATGTTCCGATATTTGTACAAAATGTGATGCATTTGGTCAGTTAGAGGCCTACAGTCTCGACGTTTACTGATGGGATGACCTATTCAAAGAGACCGAAAAGTTCGATGTCTGCTGCGGTGGAAAGAGTACAAAGTAAATGACTTGTTATTCACTGAAATTGGTGGTGCCTAGTCCTATAATATCTATAAATTTACCCAAACCTCGAAAAAAAAGTCAATCCGACCACGGTGTGGAAGCAGAGGACCAAACCAACCAACACGTCTACATATATACACTGAGACAGTTGAAGTCAACTAAAAGCTGGTGTGGCATTGCCATCAACTATTAATGATGATGTAATGCCTCATCTGTGAAAAGGGTTTATCTCATTTGGATATCTAGTCAAAGTAACTGTAAGTACATGTGTACTTGCCTAATGAAGTGACTGGTATCTTTTGGATAGGACCAGCTCAGAGATTAATAGGCTTGGAACTATTCCTCGGAATTTCATGTGCAGTCATTAAAAAAATGAGGCAAAAAATTACAAATGATTAACGTCGAAATTGGTAGGAGGCGATGAAAACTGTGCACACTTGCACCAAGGCGACACTGCTGCGACATAATATCGTTTGCACATCGGCCATGCGACACGGTTTGCTATCACACCGCCTATGGTATCGCGTGTCGTACCGCTCTAATGTGCACCGTGCCTAAGGCCTTTTTCCGTTAGAAAAGTGTAACTGGGTTCCACAAAATATCAGAGGTCCATTAAATTGGACGGCGGTGACCCATTCTACTGAAAGACAATTCCGACTTAGGTATCCGGTCATGTCAGAGCCAATAGTTTCGGTCTAAAACTAATAACCTAAGCTTTCAAGAGAAGTGTTTATTATGGAAACTCACCTCTTTGGTAGGATATAATATCGAACACAGATAAAACTTCTGACTCTTTCTCCACATAGTAAGTCATAGGTCGCACAGTCATATAATTGTAACTATAGGCGCGCTCAGCAATATCAGTCAAAAAGAAATCCATAGTTTTATATTCTGGATAAAGCTAAACCGTGATAGAGAAAATTTGATTATTTATAACAGTTATTGCATTCAAATTAGTTCAAGTACCTACCAAATCTGTTATTACATAACTAAAATAGGTGGCAAACCCTTCATTCAACCAAGCGTATGTCCACCACTGTGGTGACACCAAGTTACCGAACCATTGATGAGCGATTTCATGATTTTGCGTCAGTATGTCCTTCAGTTTCTTGTGTAAATCCGCACCATCCTGCTGCACCAGATTGTCCTCTTTGTAGGTAATTAAACCCCAGTTTTCCATTGCAGAGCCGAAATTTTTTTTCAATGCTATGTGATCCAATTTCGCCAACGGATAATCGATGCCAAAGTAGTCCTCAAACATGGCCACCGTGCGCACAGCATTCTTCAATGCTTTCCGTCCCTTATCAGCGATGCGGGGTGAGGTGAAAATACGTTGCATGACACCGCGATATTCCTCCGAAATGTAGACAAAATCGGAGATCACAAAAGCGACCAGGTAAGTAGAAATGGCGGGGGTGGTGTGGAATGTGGTTGTCACCATTGATGCATCACTGTGCGCGTACATTGCAAATAGCATAGACAAACAAACACATATTCGTTAAACTTTGATGTGTAAGTGTGTTGAAAATGAAGAATGACTTAACGGATGCGCATACATATGTGCGTAATGGATGAGCAGTTGTGGAGTGCGTGCAAATTTGCGGTTTATTAATTGGCTTTGGCAGCTGGCCAATATGTGTGTGCTAGTATGGGTACGAGTATTACTCAATTGTGTCTACTTACTTGTCACCGAGTGCAGCATTTACGTCAATGCTCGGTTCAATTTGACGTACCATCATATTCGAGATGGCTGTGTAATAGTTGCTGTGCGTAAGGCTGATAGTGAAGTTTGCTTTAAATGATGGCTCATCGTAGCAAGGAAAGGCCAGGCGGGCGCTGGTCGGCTCAAATTGCGTAGCTGTCACATAGCTATTGTATGCATGGAAAATACGATGGAGAGAAAGAAGAAACGTTTTAGTAACAAAAAGTGATTAGTGTGTTAGGCTATGGAAATGAAGGTCTCTACGAAGAGCGATAGAATTGCATATGAATGAGTTTTTATGCTTTATAAAAATTTGTTCTCTACTTAAAAAAATGTTGACCTTACGACGACAATCTATAAGTAAAGTGAGACTTTAACGAAGGCTATTCAGATGCGTTTTTAAAGTCCTAAATAAAAACGCTTGTTAATCGGCCCTCACGGAATATTTTTTTCCAATAGAAATCGAAATGCTTGGATAGTAAGAAGGTCCTTTTTTACAAAGCCACCTAGCTTCTTAAAAGACCTCAAGACGCAGGCGTAACATTAGTCAAGAATGAAAAGATCAATTCGGAAAGATTTTTTTTGTCTTCTTTGCGTGCCACGGTAAAAAATGGAGTCGCAAAATACTTCTTGTAAAGTCGACTCTACTCCATTGGACTTATTTATTGTGATATAAGCTTGGGGATACTTCATGCTGTATAAAAAAAACATATTGGGTGCAGTTATGATTACTTTATTAACTTATGTAAAGCTAAACTACATCCTGGATCAGCAAATTTAGCTTCCACGTTAGATAACTTTGCCAGCATAAAGAAATTGCCAGGATACATAACTTTCTCTGAAAGCGAAAGCGAGAAACCAGATCAACTAACACAGTTATAGACGGAACGTGTGTAGTTTAGACAAACTTTATATCTGAGTACCAAACTTCGACTCAGATCGTCGCATTTGTGCAGTGGCAAAGCTAAACGTTTATAATTTGCTATCAATTTAGACAGTCGTCAAAG